AGGGTGCTCGGGAGCATTCAACGAGCACGCATCCAACAAACACGAATCACACTACGGCACGCTCCCCGAAACGGCCTCGATCTCGTCCCTCGGTCCGACGGTGTGCCCCCTCAAGGCGGCGGGGATCCTCGGGAGCCCCGCCGGCCTTCCGGGAGGCTCCGAGGCCGGAGGTCGGCGGCTGGGCGGCGCGGCCTGGGGCGACCCCGGCCGCGACATGCGCCGCAGAGGGCAGAACGAGCACCCTCATCAGAAGCACCCCGACGAGCGAAGCCTTTGGTTAACGCACCCCAGGAGAGGGATCGAACAGGGCAGGGCTCTTCAGTGAGCGCCCAGCGCTGTCTAGTAAACGCGGATTGTGGGAGTCGGGGTATTTTTTCCTCCCTGGACATCGGGCGGCCCGAAACTGCGGGCTCGGACCGAACACCTGTGGAATTGCACTGCACGCTGCTACAGTAGGAGCTCGACCACAAGAAACCTTCCACAAGAAAACCCAAGAATTGAGACCCCGGGATGTCCATGGATGTTTGGTATGGGGACGTCACGTTCTCCATCGTAGAACCATCGAAACCCTGGAAACCCAGGGCACCCTGGGGGCAAGCAGGGTGTTCCTTGGCATGGGCTTCCTCTATAGTTCGGAGCGGAGCTACCCGTGACGAGTGTTGCCCGGGCGGGCAACACTCCGTGCCAGCGCCATCGCTTAGGAAGCAACTCACGGAAGCTTTCGGTTGCCCCCACCGGCGCCCAGTAGCGCGCCCAGTGGCGCAGAGCGGGCACCATGCAGGACCGCCGGCATTGCCGCCGCGCTGTGTCCTGGAGTGCAGAGCCTCCGACGTGTCGATTGAAAGTGTCTTCGGATTTGATCGATGGAGTTGTGTGCTCCTGTTTCTGAGGGCCACGAGGTCGAGGTAGACCAAAGTCCTCTACGTGAGGGTGTGCAGGACCGCCGGCCTTGCCGTTGGGCTGTCCTCGAGGCAACAGCCTCGCGACGGGGGTGGGCGTGCCCCATCTGTGGGTGCACAAAATCCGGCATTGCCGCCAGCCTGCGTCCAAAGGGGACGAACCTTGGTAGCGGCTCGCCGTGAGAATGCGCATCTCCCTCACATGGCGCTGTTGGGCTCTGTTGGTGGCTATTGGGCGCTTATCGGCGCTACTGGGCGCTATTAGGCGCTGTTTGGCGCTACTGAGCGCAATTCGCCGATATACGCTCATTCCAAAACAAGCGGAGCCTTCCGATACTTCCTGTCTAACATTGCTCCTGCCCGTCGCGGCCGACATTCTCCTGCTCACAAGGTCAACTTCGTAACGGTCTGTCGAGTAGGGGATCGACTACAATATTGATTTAGCCCAACACTGAATTGCTCGTCGAATCTACGAAGGACACGCAGAATGACGATGAAAATCGTTTAGGGGTGCATCAATCCTGTAATCGATCTCCTGCTCGAGTCCGACTTCCCTCCCGGAACGCCCTCGACCCTTCTGAGAAGCCACCTCAGTCCCCGGAGAAGGCTCGGAGAGCTTCTCAAAGGCCGCAGGCCTTCTTAGCCTCCCGAGCAGGTCCGCGGCGGGCTGCCAAGCATCCATCGACGATGAGCGGGCGATCGGGTGCAATGCTTTCCCCCCTTCGAATAAGGGATCGACTGCAGAATGGATGCACCTCCAAATCGGACATTTCGCAGATCTGCCAAACATTATACCATGTTCTGGCAGCTTCGACGGACAGATCGATCGTGGGATAAATCTCAATTCTGTAGTCGACCCCCTGACCCACCCCTGAGCCAATCCCCCCTCTGTCGTTGCCCCTGACCTCCGCGCCTGGCCCCACCCCCTCCCCGAACGCTGCTCGGGCGTTGCGTTAGGTCGGGCGTGTCCTCCTACAGGCGGGTTTTGGACGAAAAATAAACTACCCCAAAAATTCGCAAAAAAATACTCTAACATACTAAGATAATCGTCCCCAGACTATTGTTCCCAACCATCCTGTGCTGTTGGGTCCTCGTTTTGAAGAGACAGCGCCCCGCGTTCACTCCTTCCTTCCTTCCTTCCTCCCCCCTTCCTCCTCCCTCCTCCCACTATCACGGCACACCCCTCACACGCTTCGTGGCCCCATAGGGAGCTCCACCGAAGGCCCCAGTGGCTGCGTTCGCATGGCGGCACCGCACCCATTTCGGCACGCCCCTGACACGCTTCGTGGCCCCATAGGGAACTCCACCGAAGGCCCCAGTGGCTGCGTTCGCATGGCGGCACCGCACCCATTCCAGCACACCCCTCACATGTTTCGTGGCCCCATAGGGAGCTCCACCGAAGGCCCCAGTGGCTGAGTTCGCACGGAGGCACCGCGCACATTTCGGCACACCCCTCACACGCTTCGTGGCCCCATAGGGAGCTCCACCGAGGGCTCCAGTGGCTGCGTTCGCATGGCGGCACCGCGCCCATTTCGGTACACCCCTCACACGTTTCGTGGCCCCATAGGGAGCTCCACCGAGGGCCCCAGTGGCTGCGTTGCATGGCGGCACCGCACCCATTTCGGCACACCCCACACACGTTTCGTGGCCCCATACGGAGCTCCACCGAGGGCCCCAGTGGCTGCGTTCGCATGGCGGCACCGCGCCCATTTCGGCACACGTCTCACACGCTTCGTGGCCCCATAGGGAGCTCCACCGAGGGCCCCCGTGGCTGCCTTCGCATGGCGGCACCGCACCCATTTCGGCACACCCCTCACACGTTTCGTGGCCCCATAAAGAGCTCCGCCGAGGGCTCCAATGGCTGCGTTCGTATGGCGGCACCGCGCTCATTTCGGCACACCCCTCACACGCTTCGTGGCCCCATAGGGAGCTCCACCGAAGGCCCCAGTGGCTGCGTTCGCATGGCGGCACCGCGCGCATTTCGGCACACCCCTCACACGCTTCGTGGCCCCATAGGGAGCTCCACCGAAGGCCCCAGTGGCTGCGTTCGCATGGCGGCACCGCACCCATTTCGGCACACCCCTCACACGTTCGTGGCCCCATAGGGAGCTCCACCGAGGGCTCCAATGGCTGCGTTCGTATGGCGGCACCGCGCCCATTTCGGCACACCCCTCACACGCTTCGTGGCCCCATAGGGAGCTCCACCGAGGGTCCCAGTGGCCGCGTTCGCATGGCGGCACCGCGCCCATTTCGGCACACCCCTCACACGTTTCGTGGCCCCATAAGGAGCTCCACCGAGGGCTCCAGTGGCTGCGTTCGCATGGCGGCACCGCGCCCATTCGGCACACCCCTCACACGTTTCGTGGCTCCATAGGGAGCTCCACCGAGGGCCCCAGTGGCTGCGTTCGCATGGCGGCCGCGCGCATTTCGGCACACCCATCACACGCTTCGTGGCCCCATAGGGAGCTCCACCGAAGGCCCCAGTTGGCGCGTTCGCATGGCGGCACCGCACCCACTTCGGCACACCCCTCACACGTTTCGTGGCCCCATAGGGAGCTCCACCGAAGGTCCCCGTGGCTGCGTTCGCATGGCGGCACCGCACCTATTCCGGCACACCCCTCACACGTTTCGTGGCCCCATAGGGAGCTCCACCGACGGCCCCACTGGCTGCGTTCGCATGGCGGCACCGCACCCATTTCGGCACACCCCTCACACGTTTCGTGGCCCCATAGAGAGCTCCACCGAGGGCCCCCGTGGCTGCGTTCGCATGGCGGCACCACACCCATTTCGGCACATAGGGAGCTCCACAGAGGGCCCCAGTGGCTGCGTTCGCATTGCGGCACCGCACTCATTTCGGGACACCCCTCACATGTTTCGTGGCCTCATAGGGAGCTCCACCGATGGCTCCAATGGCTGCGTTCGCATGGCGGCACCGCGCCCATTTCGGCACACCCCTCACACGTTTCGTGGCCCCATAGGGAGCTCCACCGAGGGCTCCAGTGGCTGTGTCGCATGGCGGCACCGCGCCCATTTCGGCACACCCCTCACACGTTCCGTGGCCCCATAGGGAGCTCCACCGAGGGCCCCAGTGGCTGCGTTCGCATGGCGGCACCGCGCCCATGTCGGCACACCTCTCACACGTTTCGTGGCCCCTTAGGGAGTTCCCTCTCATTCGCTCAACCTGCTTTGCGGTACTCGTAACTGCAAATGGTTGGGTCCATCGCCAGGAGAATTTTTTGACTATTTTTAAATATTCCCCCTGTAGAGGGACAGGCCCGACTTAGCCCGAATCCACCCCTGAGCCAATCCCCCCCTGTCGCTGCCCCTGACCCCCGCGCCGCCCCCCCCCCCTCCCCGAACGCTGCGTGGGCGCTGCTGAAAGGGTGGTAGTGAACGCGGGGGTGGAGAAAAGTGCACCTCTCGTTCACCTTCGGGGCCCCAGGGGTCTCCTTTGGGCTTAGGTTGAGCGTGTCCACCTAGATTGGACTATGTTGGAACTATTTTTTGGATTATTTTTGGATATTCTCCCCGCTTATAGAGACTATGGTTGGACTATTTTTGAATATTCCCCCTGCAGAGGGACAGGCCCGACTTACCTTTAGGCCCCCTTCCCTGCACCCCTTGGTCTACCCCCTGCTCCCATTACGAAAAGCCCAATCTGGTTACTGCCGGGCAACTCGTAGAGCTGACTGAAGCGTTCCCGCCCCCAGACACGGCTTAAGCTGCAACCGCCGAGCTTCCCAGAGCATCTCCCATAGTATAGAAACACGCATGTCCCAATGTCAACGTGAAGTCCGTTCCAGGAAGTGAATCGACAAAAATTGCACCTCCAGTCTTTTGCCCTCCCCGCTATCGGGGAAGCGTAAGACTCAGGTCCGGAGGACTCGGGTTCGGCCTGACGGGGACATCATGAAAACGACGAGAGCCAGTCTGAAATCTCACGCGTCCCCGCTGCGAATTCTCACGAAAACTGGCCGCGCTCGTCAATAAGCGACGGCAAACCCGAGTTCCGGCGGCGAACCTGGATCTTACACTGCGAGACGCCCACGCTGCGCATCGAACGTCACTCCAGCGGAGGGCTACCCGCAGGCGTGGTCGGTCCTGGCGGTGGCCTCCTTCTCCACGGCGCTGCCTCCGCGGCCAGCGCCCCGCGACGGCGGCAGCTCTGACAGCGGCGGCGCTCGACGACGGCGGCGGCGGCGTCGACGACGAAGACGATCGAGATTTCTAGATTTATGTTGCTCCCATCGTACTTAAGGACCGCATCCCAGAAATAATTTCGAGCACCCGGAAGAGTGTCGAACCAGTGTCGAAAGCGTGTCGACACAGTGTCGGACGAGTCTCCCAGGGCCCGACACGTGAAAACCCTAGAGTTGTTGGGTACTTTTCTGGTGCTCGAAATTCTTTTTGGTGATCAAGGATAAAGTAAATTGGAACATCATAATTCTAGACGAGCGATTTCGAAAACCCTGAATCCAGAAAAATGTTCATCTCTTGGGGGCGCACTTTTCACTTCCGCCGCCTTCCGCCGCCCTTCCGCTGGCTTCCGCCGGCGGAGGCGGTCTCTGTTTACTTCCGCCGCTCTTCCGCCGCGGAAGCGATGACAACCCTTTCTGTCCTCGCAGGCAAGGCCCTCTGATGCTGCTTCGGGCATTGCTTCATGGGGGGGAATATTTTTCCCCGAAAAAAAAAACGATCCGCACTCGTGGCGGACCTGCTCTATTTTTGTTCATGGGGGGGGGGGGGGGGGGGGGGGGCAAGCTCCGTCGGGGGGGGGAGGAGGTGCTTCGTTTCTGCACCTCTTGGATCCCATGGGGGTCCTCTTGGGGCCCCCTCAAGGCCCTGAGGTCCGACGTCCCGGAAAAGTTCCAGCATCGCGAAAAATCACGATGCGGTTGTAGCATCTAAGCCCGATCGTTCTGCTGCACGTTTCGAGCCGCATCGGTCTGTGATGGTCCAGATGCCCGCAGTCGGGTCAGGTCACAACGCCCAGCGTCAAAGAACGCAGCGACTGGATCTCAGGGGGCCCCTTCCCTGCAACTCTCGGTGCCCCCCCCATTCATCGTCCCCCCATTGCGAGACGCCCGACTGTTGCAACTTTGTCCTCCTCCTCCTCTCCTCCTTCTCCTACGCCTCCTCCCTTTCCTCCTCCCTCTCTAGGTATTATTCCTCCACCTTGTCTTTTCTTCCTTCCGTCCCTCGCCTCACCCCTCTTTTCTCCTCTCGCCTCCTCTTGTCTCCTCTCCTCTCCTCTCCTTCCTCCCTTCTGCTTCGCCTCCAGCTCCCTCTCGCCCCTCATCTCCCTCCATGCCTGCCTGCCGTTCCCCTCTTCTTGTTTCATAGTATTCTTAATCGTGCTCTTCCTCCTGCTCCTCCATCGCTTCTCCTCCTCCCTCCCTCCTGCTCCTTCTTCCCCTCCTCCGCTTGCGCCTCCTCCTCCATCCTCTTCATCGCACCACAAAACGTATTGAGAAGGCGCGCCAGCCGTTTCTCCCGAGACTTCATCACCACGTACGGTATTGATGCCTGCAACATCCCAACAATTTGAGGGTGAAGGGCTACTCCTTTTCGCAATGCGGCTCTCGCCTGAACACCGGGTACATGCGTCTTAAAAGACTCCCACAATTACACAAATGGAATGGCCACCGTGTTTCAAAGAAGGCTCCCGCGTTAACGCCGCGCGCATCAAATTTCCACACGCCCCCAATAACTGCACGGAAAGAGGGAGGGCGTTCCTTCAGATGTGTCTCCTGCCTGAGCGCCGAGTGCGCCCGTTCTTGCTGAAACGTGCCTTGCACAGCATGGTCCTAACTTTTGACGTCAGGTCGGGCATGTCACCCTACAGGCGGATTTTGGGCGACAACAGTAGTCAAACATATTCGCAACTAGCAAAACTAAAGTGGAACAATCCCCCCCATGATTTTCTTACTATTTGGGAATACTCCCCCCTGTAGAGGGACAGGCCCGATTTACTTTTGACGCGTGTTCTTTGCAGGTGGTCTTGCGATCCTCCGATGCACTGGCGATGCATCGGCGATGCACTGGCGACGTCGGCGGTGCATCGGCGACGCCGGCGTGGAGAAAATTGGGCCCCACGTCGAGCCATCTCGCCGATGCACCGCCGATGTATCGGCGATGCGGCGCGATCCTCCGACCCCAACTACTCCGACCCCATCTAGGAGGCCTAGAACAACATGTTCCCTACTTTTGTCCCCCTGCAGGCGGATTTTGGACGAACAATCAAAAATAGTCCAACAATATTCCAGAATAGCAAAACAATAATAGAAAAATCGCCCCCTGACTATTTCTTTGACTATTTGGGAATGTTCCCCCAGGCCCGATTTAATTTTGACGCGTGTTCTACGTAGGTGGCCTTGCGATCCTTTGGAGGCCTGGAAATTGGCACCAACACCAACGCAAGGGGGCTGCCTCCACAGGGGGAAGCTGATCCTAGATCTCGGTGCTGGTGGTAATATTTCGGTCACCTTGGCAGCCAGAATATTCGGCGGTGGACAAGCCTCCCTTTAGTAAACCTCCAATTCGTGAAAACGGCCTGGGACCGAAACCGGCGGACCTGGACCCGCAACAGTGACGGCCGCGACGCCCTCTCGCGGAGCGAGAACGGCCGACTCGCGAATCGACGCGTCAGGGTGGGAGGTCCGTCAACCTCCGCGCGTTGGTGTCGACCTCTCTCGGCCTGCGAGGTCCCGTGCTTCTGCCCGCGGGCCGCCCGTGCCCGCCTCGCTTCGCCCCCTCCGTTCGCGCGGCCTGCCCGGCGGTGCCGGACGTTCGCCCGGCCCGGGCCGCGGCGAAGCCGGGACGAGGACCGACGCGGGTGGGGATGTGAGTCGAGGCTCTCCGAGGCTCAGCGGCGCTGGAGGATGTCTCGGGCGCCGCGGCCTTCATGATGGGTTTGGCCAACAAGCTGTGGGCGGGAGGGTGGGATGCCTGCGCGCGCACGTGACGCTGCGACTTCCGCTCCATCAGTGAAGCCCCTACCGAGGACAGGGTTAGCGGCTCCCCTCGTTGTATTGCATGTTTGCATGTACTCTGCGTTGTCGTCCACCGTGTTCACACCATCCCAGTCAGGACGGTATCGACGCCACCGCCATCTCCTGTATACCATATGATTCGGTGCGTATGCTTGGAACCCAATATTCATTTTATCTGAGGGTCCTTGGCAACAGACACGCATCAGGGAGCACATGCGCCTCCCGCCGCGCGCACACCTCAAACCCTTCAAGCCGTTAGGAACACATAGTTTCAAGGCATGGCTAATCACCGCAGCTACCCATAACAGAGATAGCTTTTGCAACAGCGCGCTTGCCAAAATTCTGCGCGGACGCGCGCTCTGGCTGACATCTCGGAACACCGTGCTTTCGGTGGCAATTCATGGGAGTATCCCATGCCATCTTGTTGGTTCTTGCGAATCGACGATAATCGGTGCTAGTCGACGCTAAATCTACGCGAATCGATGCGAATCTACGCGAATCGACTTCGTTGGGTAGGGCTCGCAGTGTCGGCAGTCGGTCCAGAGCCTAATGAATAGTATCGTTTTCTGTTGGGGCCCGTGCCAAGTGCTACGCAGACCGTCCCACGTGGGGAACTGCTGGCCGTCTTGGTGGGGATCCGTGGATCCCGCTGCTACATGGTCTTCGTCACTGGCAACGAAGAAGTGGGTCGAGGATGGTGTGCCAGATTGATTCTCGAGGCTGCTGGCGTTAACTCGGACTTGTGGCGGCACATCGGGTTGACCCTGGGGCAGCAGGATAGACATCACACGAGTATAGCTGTCGTCCAAATGCCTTCTCATGTTTCTGGCAGCGAGGCCGTCGAGCGGGGCCTCGTTGGCTGGCTCATTGCAAGAAGCGTTGCGGGAGTTGCCGCCGCGGGTGCTCGTGTGGCCGAAGCTCAGAGGACCAACGCACTGCAGGTAGAGCACGAGGCCCGACTCATCAGAAAAAAGGCTTTTGCGTGCAACTCTGGATGCAGCTGCCATCGAAGAAAGAAATGCGCGCCCTCGTTAAATAGGAGGCCACATGCGACCCCCCCCCACCACCCCACGATTTCTGAGGGGGTGGGGGGTGGGGTAGGGTTCGCATGTGGCCTCCTACTCGTGCTGACCGTGCTGCTGCATCTAGAACTCCGCCTCTGGCCCCTGCCACTGTGGCCCGCTTTGTGTTCTGCACATGCTCCGGCGGACTGCGGCAACAAGCCTCTCACGTGCAGGAGAACCACGACTGTGGCAGTGAATCGAATAGGGGATCGACTACCGAATTTTGCGACCCCAAAAATGATTGCCTCGCCTAAACCATGAAACCAACACGTTCGTATACTCTTCGCCGAAGGGAAAGTATACGCTTTGCTGCATGGTTTTTACGGGAAAACTAATTCAGGGGTAAATCAATTCTTGAGTCGATCCCCTACTCGAGTGAAGGCGGAGTTTTTACATTCAGAATGCTTCCGATTAGAACGAAGTTTCGAGCATGTCTGGAGGGTTCCTCAGGGGCGGCGTTTGCATCTCGCTGGGGGGTGGGTCCATCCGTCTCACAGCATGTTGTATACAGAATCCCTGGACCGGTGGTTCTGAGGGTACTGCGGGTGCTACGGTGAACAGATTCGGAGCCTAAACCAAGAATCTTCAACCTTCTCTTTAACCAGGATGTGCCGGGAATATCTCCATCGGATTTGCAGAGGCCTCCTGCCCAAAGTTCTCAGCAAGGCTGAGAAGACGGCCACGTCCTCGACTTCATTCATTTTGAACTCGCTTCGCGACTGGCCTTACCTTATCATATCTCCCTGCACTTCGCCGTCGCCGACCGCATGCTTCTTCCTCTTGCTCTCGTCACCATCCTCGGTGCAGGTGCCCTCACCTTGGTCCTCGCCGTCACAGTCGGTGTGCTCGCCGCCGTCGCCGTCGCCCAAGACGAGCGCAGGACGAGGACAACTCCGGATGAGCGTCACCGGGCAGTCTCCGGAGCTGCCACGAGGCGGCTCCAAGATGGCATCTTCTTAACCCCATAACCACTTTCTCGGCCTCCGGCCGAGGGCTTCTACGGCACAGGCACCGTGTCGCCATCAACTCCACACACGGGCAGTCTCCGAGAGCTCGCGGGCCTGGAGGATGCACCCGAAGCCGCGGTCGCTCCAAAAGCGTTCCTGGATTCCCGAGGGCAACTTATCCTCATCCTACAGCCCGCCGCGAAATCAAGCTCAAGTTTTCTTGTTTCCACGACTCGGCGGCGCCCCACGACCCGCAATGTCAATTCGTTCGCGCCGAAGCTGGCGACTTCTTATATCTTTCTTGGGGCACCGCGGGCCGCGTCGCGCGCGTCGCCGAACATTGAACTTGGGAGGGCGAAGGGGGATCGGAAACAACTTGCGAGTTCGCGGAGGGCTGTAGGCCTGCCTGGTCGCCGCCGTCGTCGTCGCCGCCGCCGCCGCCGCTGTCGTCGCCGCCACCCGTGTTGTCGCGGCCGGCCCCGGCCTCTCGCCCGCACCGCGCCAGGCTGCGGTGGGGCGGCTGCTGCGCCCGCCGCCGCCGCTGAGCGAGGCGCCGCTGCCGCCGCGGCCACGGCGCCGCCTGGGGCCGTTTTTTATGTGTTTTGTGTGCGCGCCCTCGTGATACGTGCATGCAGTCATGTCTCAAACATCTCTTCACGGCGGAGAAAGAGGTGCCCTCCCTAAAATGGCGGCCGGCGCCGCCTCGTTCGGCGGCGGAAATCCGCGATTCTATGCCGCCACGCTGGTTCCGGGCAGGCTGTGCTGCCCGGCGGAAGGGGACGAGGAGGGGAGAAGCAGGCAGACGACGACGAACGCCCAGGCGGGAGGCCAGGGCCGGCGGGGCGGGCGGGCAGGCAGAAGACGGGCCAGGCGGAGACAGCAGGCAGGGAGCAGGAGGAAAGGAAAGGGAGGGAAGCAACGAGCAGAAGCGAAGGGAGGGGGAGGAGGGGGAGGAGGACAAGGAGGAGAGAAAGCAGCGGCCGCAAGCAGACAGGCCGGGCCAGGGGCCGGGAGAGAAGAGCCGCCCGCGACGAGGCTGCGGACCCTACGGCGGCGACCTGGGCGGGGTGGCCGCCCGAACCCAGCGCGATGCGGCTTGGTGGGGATTGCCCTCTGCGGGATCCATCCACCGCCCCGCCGGGGAAAGGCCGGGCGGCGCGTGGGAGGGGTCGCCGGCGCGACGTTGGCGAAAGGGCGAGGGGGGCGCCCGCGCTGCCCAGCAAGGGCGGGGGGGGGGGTGGGCGGGGGGCGCTAGGCAGCGCAAGGGGCACCTCACACGGCGTCTGCCGTGGAGGCCGCCGTGGCCGCGGCCAGGCGGGCCGCTGCCACCCCCGCCCCTCCAGACAGGGTCTGAAGGCGCCGCAACACCGCCCGCGCGTTCTCCCTGTGCAGGGAGACGGAAAGTCGCTGGGCATGTACGCATGTGCATGTAAGTGCATGCCTCTGGCATTTACCCCCGAGGGATAGTAAGAGGACCAGGGCTCCGAGGGGATAATCAAAGATGCTCTCGGCAAGTCGCAAACAGCATGGTGTGCCGATGCCCTGCTGGCTCTGGCGGGGCCTCTCCTAAGATTGGTCCCTGCCGCGGTGATAATGAAGTTCGGCGTCGCTGCCCCCCACCAAATAACAGAAGAATTCGCGCCCGGGATTATCATGGACAACAGCGGTGAAAAAGGGGGCAGGCTTTATCATCAGGGGCATGCCGTTCTGTGTATACGCATGGACATGGACAAACATACACACACATGTGTGTTGTTCGCGCTTGAGGACCGTCTGCGCCGCTGAGTTAATAGTGTGTGTTTGTGTCGCCGCCGCGAGTGTCAACGCGGCGAGAACGAACCGTGCTAACGCAAAGCGGTGGCGCGAGCGGGCGGGGATGACGTGGGCGATCTGCCCTGGAGCGGGCTTGCACCGGTGGTAAGAGGAGAGGGGGCCCTGGCTCCCCCTGGTACCACGATGGTTGGCACGGGACCGCAGGCCCCGCATCTCACGGCGCACCCTTGCCCACCCTGGAGCGCCGTTTTTCTCCAGGGCGGTCCTGCCAGGAAGCGGAAAGCACACATGGCTAGATTCGCGCGCGGAACTCCCAGGAAGGCCACGCGCTGGACACGCGGGCGGAAGCCCGGCGTGCCCAGCCGCAGAAGAACACGATCTCTGGAAAAACAGCCGGCCGCACGTGTAGCCGGCTCTCTCGCCCAGGCTGGCCGCGCCGTGCGCGCCCAGCTTCCTGGCAGGCTTTCGGGGCCGCCGCTGGCGCGAGCACCACTCACCCCCGACATCCGCCGATGTGACTCTTCCAGAGCGCGGCCACCGATGTCCCGATTCCCGTTCCTGGGGCCAGTTTTCGCCCCGTGCTCATTTTTGACGGCCCCAGGGCCCGCCAACGGGCCTCGGAGGCCCAAATAGAGGAAACGCGCCAGGATTGGCAACGAGCAGAATCATCGTCGGAACACTGAAACTGGGCTGCCTTTTGGGGAAACGAAAAAAATACCGATGCCGTTCGTCACCGGATCTCTTCACGGGTGCGTTCTGGTCATGATTTCTGGGAAAATCCAACCGTGGCGTCGAAAGACACGCACCCATCAGTCGGAAAATCTGGGTAGACACATGCAGTGAGACGGCGTTGAAAGTAAATCTGATACCCGCCCGCCTCCTGAAACCCGCTCGTCACTTGAGACAGGAGCGCCACAAGTTGGCTTGAACCTGGGAGTCCACAAGTGCCTACTTTCAACAACCTGTGGGTAGCGGTATCGTTATCACAAATCATGCAAAACACCTACTTCTCGGCGGTGGACAACCCTTTAGTAAACCTCCCCTTAGTGAAAACTGCCTGGGACCGAAACCGACGGACCTGGACCCGCAAAAACGACGGCCGCGACGCCCTCTCGCGAACCGAAAACGGCCAATTCACTAATCGACGTGTCAGGGTAGGAGGTCTGTCCACCCCCGAACTTCTCGGAAGTGCGCCATGGGGGGGCACAGCGCCGCTCCACGAGATCCGCGCGGAGCTCCAAGAGCTCACACTTACGCGAGTGTTTGTTCTTCTTCGATTTGCCTCACCAGACCTTGAGCTCACGCCCTTCGGGACCTGGCTCGCCTGTGAAGGCAGCCAGGTTCCCGTCTGTTGTTCGAGCCTGCGCCCTGCGCCCACCTGTGGCCCACGAAGACGCCCCGGAAAGAGAAGGAAGAACAACACCACCGCTTGACATCGTCCGTCACGACACCGACGACGATGGGCGACCCCCCGCATATTCTTGTCGACCGGGCACACATGCCGCGGTCGAGCGCGAAGCAGCAGCCACAGCAGGAGGAGGGGGAGCGAAAGGGCGCGACCACCCCTCTATTGACCTAGAAGCGGCGGCGGCGGCGGCAAGCGCCGCGGCCGCCTGGGCTCCCCAGCGCGGCGGGCGGCGCCCCACCGCCGCCGCGGCGGGCGCGCTGCGGCTGCGCGGGGCGCGCCGCCGCCGTCGCCGTGGCGGTCACCGTCGCGGTCGCGGTCGCCGTCGCCGTCGCCACCGCCGCCGTCGTCGTGGCCACGATCGTCGTCGTCGCTGTCGCCGCCGCCGCCGCCGCTGTCGTCGTTCTCGTCGTCAGCGTCACCGCCGCCGCCGTCGTCAGCGCCCCGGCTGCCGCCGTCGCGGTCGCCGACGCGGTCGTCGTCGCCGCCGCCGCCGCCGTCGCCGATCGGAGCTTGATGATCGAGTTATGAGAGGACGGGCTCGGCCCTTTCAGGGTCCGCGGGGGGCGTCTGGAGTCCTTGGGCGTCGCCGCCACCACCGCCGTCGTCGCGATCGTTTTCGCCGTCTGTCGTCGGAGCCGCCGTCGTTGTCGTCGTCGTCATCGTCGTGTTCAGAATGGGGAGTCCGACATCCGCTGTTCGGTGCTCTCCTCTCCGATCTGGGGCGGTTATCCCTCCGATGTGCACACACACATTTCTATACATATATATATATATATATACACATATATATACATATAGATATATGTATATATATATATGCATATACGCACATATACATACATACATATACGAACATGTATATACATATAAGTGTGTGCCCCTGCAGTAAGGTTGGGCGATAATGATGCAAGCGCCTTGGAAGGCCATTTCGGAGCTTTCCGAGCGGGGCGCGGCCAACAAACGTGGCCAGAGATGGACCGAGGAGGCACGGACGCAAAGGGTACTCTTGGGAAGGCTGCCCATCCTTACCCTGCGGCTTGACTGTATACCTATCGTCCCTGAACGCTTGAGACCTGGAAATGGGTACCAACACCAACACAGGGGGGTGCCTCCTCAGGGGGAAGATGATCCAAGATTTCTGAGTTGGTGGTAATACTTCGGTCACCCTGGCAGCCAGAACATTACCACCATCACCGAGATCGGGATCTTCTTCCCTCTGTGGAAGCACACTGCCGATACTGGTGCCGGTGCCAACCTCTAGGCCTGCGAGAGCAGCGAATGCGATGGGGGGTCCCGTTTGCCTTAAGTCGGGCGTTTCCCCCTACAGAGGATTTTCGACGAAAAATAAAACATACTCAAAGCATATCCCAAAATGGTCAAACAAGTACTAAAAAAATAGTCCCCAGACTATTGTTTGACCATTTTGAGGGACGAGCCCTTGGTGGGCCCTGGAAACGACAAGGCCTTTTTGTTACCGGTTCCGTTTTGCCGTTTCTGTTGCTGGTTCCGGCGCCATTCTTTTACGGGTTCCCGCTCCGGCTCCAATCCTGGAGCCGTTTTTGTTGCCGTTTCCGGTCGCCGTTTTTTGGCCGTTTCCATTTTCAAGGGCCACTTTTTCCGAAACGCTGGAAAAACGGCTCTGCCGTTTCCGGGGCCCACTGAGGACGAGCCCGACTCAACGTCTGCCATGCCCCAGCTCGCTGCCGAAGCCAAGGAGGAGCGAAGCACACCGTGGCCGCGCGCGGTGCGCCATGGCCGCGCGCGGTGCGCCGTGGCCGCGTGCCGAACCGTGCCCGCGGGCCGTGCGCGTGTGGCGTGCCCGCGCGGCCCCCCATTCTGGGAGCTCGAGTACGACATGTCTAGAGAGTCCAGAGTCTCGATTTCAGAATACAGAGTCCAGGTTCTAGAATCTATGCTCCAGGGTCTGGATTCCAGAGCCTGGCATGGGAGAAGTGCGCCGTGCTGCGCCTGATGTCGAGAATGCGGCCCGTGTGCCGTGCGCGTGCCGTGGTTGCGTGCAGTGAGCTGAATTTTCAGACGCCACGTGTCTTCTCGTGCGACGGAGCTGTTGAGGGCGTGGACGCTCGTGAGCATCTGGGGTGCCTGGATGGAAAGGGCGAAGGGAGGAGGAACGGGAAGAGGAGGAGAAGGAACATGAGGAGGAGAGGGAGGAGGAGGAGGAGGATAATGGGAGCGGCAATCGGAGACTGCTAACGCCATCGGGAATCAGGAAGCAGGAGGAGGACCAAGCGGACGAAACGGACCGAGGACCGCCCATCGATGCTCTCGGGTGGTTTGACACATGTTGGGCCTCGGGGAGGGGGGGATCAGAGAGATGAAGGGCTGGTGGATCGGAGCAACCACCAAAACACTGCGTCGTCCTCGTCCTCTTCCGGGTATATGTATAAATAGATATACGTATGCGGGTTCTGACTGTAGAATGCGTTCCCAATTCAATTCAAGCAAATGCCAATGCCCATGGTAATCTTATGCGGTCATATCCAATCCAGTCGAATTTTCCTTCTCCTCTTCAAAATCTTTCTCGAATCGATGGGGAAAAAGGACGCCAGACCAAATGCAGCCTCCAACACTGATGGATGCAGTTCCCTAATTGATGCTGGTTGCCATCTCTGCGTATCGCCGACCCTGGCAACTCCCAACGTGATGTCCGTTGCCATCTCCGCGCGTTGTCTGCCCTGCCCTTGTGTGGAGAGAACGCCTGCCACTCCATCTCACATTCCCGCGATGAGATCGGCCTGCACAGACGCCGGCGGATGACTGCCAAACTCTCCTCCTCCTCCTGTTCCTCCTCCTGCTCCTCCTCCCTCCTCCTCCTCCCTCCTCCTCCTCCTCCTCCTCCTCCTCCTCCTCCTCCTCCTCCTCCTCCTCCTCATTCGCCTCCTCTTCCTCCTCCTCCTCTTCCTATTCCTCCTCCTCCTCCTCCTCCTCCTCCTCGTCCTCCTCCTCCCCCTGTGCTCTTTTTGGGTCGGCAGCGAATTGCGCAACATCATCGCAGACACAACAGACAGACGTCGGCAGGCAAGCAATCACAACGAGGAGGCAACCCGCGCGCGCGCGGGTCCGCTCCCAACCTGCTGCGCTTCCAACCCCCTCTTCTCCTGGGGAAGCACAAAGACACCGCTACCGCTACTCCCTGGACCTCTCCTGGACTGCGTTCCGACCCAAATTTCGAGGCGAATCCAGCCGTGACGACGAGGGTGGGGTAGCGGGACCAGCTCCGGGGCGGGGCACCAGCGAGCTGGAATCGACGACACATCGCGGATAGATTGGCCCATAGGTCTCCGATGCCGCACGCTCCTGTGCGGACTGGGGCACGCACGGGGCCCCCATCGGCGATCATTGGTCGATCTGGGGTCATTGGCCCCCCCCGCCCCTATCGTCCCCTCCTCCCTTTTGCGCTCTTGTGCTCCTTTGCGGTCGTCCCATGCGCACAAGACGCCCACGTGCAACTAAACAAACTGACGCTAACGCCCCAGTGAATCCGGGGCCTCGACTGCCGCCCTGCGGTTTGAGGGGTCTTCCCCCTGCTTTAGGATTTCAAGGGCCTTGCTCTTCCAATCCGCGTCGGGAAGACTAGGGCACGTCTTGGCCATGAAGGCTGAAGGCTGTCGTCCCTCCCTCCTCCTCCTCCTCCTCCTCCTCCTCCTCCTCCTCTCCTCCTCCTCCTCCTCTCCCCCCCCCTCTTCGCCGTCGCTTTCAGCTCCCCCCCCCCCCCTGGATGCCCTCCCAGGCCCCCTCGTTTTTTCTTCTCGTCGCTTCCCTCCTCCTCCCCGTCGCTCCCCTCCTCCCTCCTCGTCCTTCCTCCTCGTGAAGGGCCACGAGAAGGGGGCGTAAGCGTGGGGGGGATGCGTCGACCTGGAATCGGCCATGCGTCGCCGACACATCGGCGATATGCCCCCGACAGTGAAGCCGCACCTTCCTGGGCGGGATGGGGCTATCAGGCCCCTAACAGCGATCAATGGGCGATTGGGGGTCGACGCACCCCCCTCTGCCTATCCCTCCGCATCGTTGCCCCTGACGGGGGCCGCGGACAGGACCGTCCGGCCCCGGGAGAAGGAGGGGGAGGAGAAGGAGGAGGAGGAGGAGGGAGAGGAGGAGGAGGGGAGGAGGAGGAAGAGGACGAGGAAGAGGAAGGGTAGTTGTTTTAAACCCGCGTGCTCGCGCCCACGAGTGAGCGCCCCTGGTCTCGGCACCTCAGCCGAGCGCGCGGCGGCGCGCCCGAGTCGAGGTGGGCCAGCGGCCTCAGCGCGTGCCGCTTTTCTCTGGGGGAACCTACGGCGGGCCTTGCCGCCCCCAGCAGAAAAATACAGATGCTAAGTCTTACGCCGCCTCACAGCTCAGCCACGGACGGTCCTCTGGCCGCCTCGGGTCGGCGCCCTTGCGCCGAGCGACGCCGCCACCTCCGCCCAAGCCTCCGCCTGCTCTGCAGGTCGGGACTCTGGAACACCCTCGGCCGCCAGGTGGGTCCCCTGGCGCGAGACTCAGTGGTGCCCAGGACCACCCCCACAAGTCCCCTTGCCCAAGGGGGACCAGGTGGCACGCGCCATGAGCCTCCCCGACCTCCCTGGGTGCGGGGTGACCCGAGTGCTGAGACTGGCGCCCGGGCGGCGAACCCGGGCCGTTTAGCGAACAACACCCACTACCCCCCCGACTAGGGGTAGATTTATGCAGGCTCAAGTTCCCACAGGGCGCCGCGCGGGTGCTGCACCAGCCCGCCGACCCCTGCCCTGGGGGCGGAAGAGGAAGAGGAGTAGTAGGAGTAGTAGTAGTAGTTAGTAGTGAGTAGTTAGTAGTAGTAGTAGTAGTAGTAGTAGTAGTAGTAGTAGTAGTAGTAGTAGTAGTAGTAGTAGTAGTAGTAGTAGTAGTAGTAGTAGTAGTAGTAGTAGTAGTAGTAGTAGTAGTAGTAGTAGTAGTAGTAGTAGTAGTAGTAGTAGTAGTATAGTAGTAGTAGTAGTAGTAGTAGTAGTAGTAGTAGTAGTAGTAGTAAGTAGTATAGTAGTAGGAGGAGGAGGGATGGATAAGGAGGAGAGGAGGAAGCAAAGGAGGAGGAGAAAAAGGAGGCCGATCCCCCCCTCATCGTTGCCTCCGACCTCGTCCCTCCTCCTCGCCCCCCCCCCCCCCCCCCCCCGCTGGAGCCCCGCCCCCCCCCCCCCCCGTCTGCTCCGACACCCGCCCTCCGGGCACCGAGTCCGACAGCGCGCCGCTTCGCCAGGATCTGGGGGGGGGGGGGGAGGCAGAGGCCCGGTCAAGCCAAACAGCCCACGGCTTTAGCCTTAGGTCGGGCATGTCCTCCTACAGGCGGATCTTGGCCGAAAAATTAACATATCAACAGAAATAATCAAAAGTACTCACAAATAGTGAAACATCGCCCCCCGACTATTTGTTTGAGTATTCCTCCTGTAGAGGGACAGGCCCGACATAACTCCAGCCGTGGGCAACAATGAGACCTAAGACGAGGAGGGTGCGCAAAGGGGAGACGGGCGGTGCGGGCGCACAGGGGAGGCGGTCGCGAAGGGGGAGGCAGAGGCAGAGGCCCGGTCAAACCAAACAGCCCACGGTTTTGGCCGTGGGGAACGCAGAAGCCCAAGACGAGGAGTTAGGGTGACCCAGAAGGGGGTCCAGCTGAAAGTGGCTTCTGCCACAGACTTGGGGCGACTGTATGGCAAACGTATTGCGCTGGAGACTTGTATTGGATTGTGTTGCAAATGATATGCCGCACGCGAGAACCCAGCAACAGACTTGCGCCCCGGAATGTACTGCACGCCCCAACTGTATTGCAACCCCAGAAATCCAATTGCACCACCCCCGTGTCGCTGGACCCCCTTTTGGGTCGACCCGAAGACCACCGCTCCAGCCGTGGGCAAGACCAAACCTAAGATAAAGTCGGGCCTGTCCCTCTACAGGAGGGAAATTCAAAAATAGTCAATAGTCTGGGGACTATTTTTTGAGCATGTTGTGACCAGTTGTGGGTATGTTTGACTTTTAAAAAATCGTCTAAAATCCCCCTGTGGGAGGACAGGCCCGACCTAAACCTAAGACGAGGCCAAGCCGACATCCAATCTTGCCGCAGGGCATGCCATGCCGTGGGCCAGGTTTCTGCGCGCCCCCGCCCGGCGGTGCGCACAGGGGAGGCGGGCGCGAAGGGGGGGGTGGGGGGACAATTTTGAGATGGCGAGGGGGGGGACTCCTTAGAGAAGGCGAGGGGGCCTTTCAGGAAGGGCCCCACGGTAAGACGATGCCAGGACGAATATGTCATCGGGTGAGGACAAATCGGGAATCTCTGAGATCCGGCGGCTCTGGAAGATGTCTCGGGCGCCGCGGCCTTCTCAGAGCGTTCCAGAACGCTCTGAGAGCGTTCCGGAATGCTCTGGAACCGATTTTTCCTCGTCCTAGTCCCGTCCGAGAAGGCGAGAAAGCTTCCCAGGAAGGGCCCCAGGAGGCTGCTGGGATCCTTCTCAGAAGCATCTCGATATCGAGTCGGATCGATCGGATCAAAGTGTGCCCTACTAGGGGGTGTGAACGCTCTGGGAGTGCTCCGGCACGCCTTAGATTGACATATTAGTCTTACCCGGAGCTCTCTGGTGGGACGCCGAAGGACAAACTAGTACTACTTGCGTCTTTGGAATATAAACGTCCGAGCCGAACATATAGTACAAACTTAATCGTATAGCCTGTCGTTGCCAAAGCCCCCAAGAGGTACCCAAGGGGCCCAACATTGCGCCAAGAGTTCGCCACACATGGCCCAGGAGGCGAAAGCGTCTCCGTCGTCGTCGTCGTCCAACTCCAGGGTCGGCGGCACTGGACGTAAGGCCTTCGCAGTAGCATGTCGTTGCCCAAGTGGTATGGCCAGAAAGCTTGGCATCGCGCAAAGGGGGGTAGGGGGAGCGGGGAAGGCTTCTTGGAAGCACCCCTGCTTCTTGGAAGGCGCGGGCCTTGTCTGTAGACGCAGGGCCGGCGCCCTGTAAGAAGCAGCCTCCTTCTAAGGAGCCTTCCTAGGGAACCGAAAAGTGACATAAACATACAAACTCGGAGGTCCGCGCGGATTTCTCGGATCGGCGCTGGGGCCCCCCAGCGGCGCCTCCTGCGCAGCCCCTGGCGCGCTCCGCGCGCCAGGGAGGGGGATCCCCGAAAACACATGAGCGACGATCAGAAAACGGATCTTACACAAGATGGCATAGCGACCTTACGCGGCGGCTTACGCGGGCCGCCAGCGCGGCGCGACCTTGCGCGGGCAGCTTGAGCAGCTTGCGCGCCCATGTCGGCGCAGACGACCCCGTTTGTTTGCGTTGCTCATGTGGCGGATCCCAGAAGCCCTGAACCCAAACACGTTCCCATCCCTTGGAGGGCAAATTCATACTTCCGCCGGCTTTCGCCAGCCTTCCGCCGGCGGAGGCCAGCCGGCTCGTTCGATCCTCGTTCGGCGGCGGGAATCCGCGACTTCCCATGGAAACGGGACCCGTCGCTAATCCGTGGTTGGGCAGTGAACGTGCTGCTTTGGCCAGGGCGATGCCATCGAGCTCGGCTGCTTCAAGTTCCGCGTGCGGCAGCTGAGCGCCGACCCGGACGCAGAAGGGGCAGCCGGATCTGAGGACCGCCTCTCGACGGCAATGTGCCTGACCGTCGGCTCCCTGGCCCGCCTGCTCGTCCCCCCGTCGCCCTCTCTGCTCGTGCCTGCCGCCACACCTTCCGCGCCCCTTCCGTGCCGTCGCTGCCTCTCTGCTCGTCGCCCCCTCGCTCTCTCCATGCTTTCGATCGCCCGAAGCCTTCCGCCAGCCTTTCGCGCCGGCGGAGACGCAGCCTCGCCCTCCGCGAGGGCCGCCCCCGGGGGGGGGGGGACCTCGAGGGCGCCGCCTGCTGCCCGCGAGGGCGAGGCCCCTCCCGGGGCGCCTGCTCTGCTCATCGGCGGCGCGCACAAAGGGGGTTGGAGGGAGGGGGGAGGGCTTCGTTGAAGGAGGCTGCTTCCTAGAAGGCGCTGGCCTTGCACCTGTAGATGAGGCCCGCGCCTTCCAAGAAGCAGGGGTGCTTCTCAGAAGCCCCCTCCCCCTCCCCCCAACCCCCTCTGCTCGTGGCCAAGCACCGGCGGCGAGCGAGGGGGAGAGAGTGAGAAGGAGAATGGGACGCACAGAGACATACTAGCACTATATGTAAGTCGGGCGTGTCCCCCCTAAAGGCGGATTCTGGACCAAAAAGAAAATAAACCCAACAAAAATACCCCAAACATGCTCGAAAATAGTCAAAAAATAGATCCCGTACTATTTTTTGACTATTTTTTTGATAACCCTCCTGTGTAGGGGCAGGCCCGACTTAACACTATATGGCGGACTCCGGAAACCCTGAACCCCAAAACGTGTTCATCTCTTGGGGGCGCATCTTTTACTTCCGCCGCCTTCCGCCAACCTTCTGCCATCTTCTGCTGGCTTCCGCCGGCGGAAGCCAGCCTCGTTTTATTTCTGCCGACCTTCCGCCGCATTCCGCGGCGGAGAAGGTGACAACTCCTTCGACTCTCGAAGGCAAGGCCATTTTGGAACGCCTGATATGTCCTTCTTGGATGCGCGCGTCCGACCCGACCATATAGTATACCCATCTTGTAGTATTCGTTGCCCGAGCGGTGTGGCCAGAAAGCGCCCGCCACGACGCATATACTACCCTGCATGGGGGGGGGGAGACGCACACATAGCATGTTGGGGGGACGCCGAGAGAAGGCCTTCTCAGAACTCCGAGTCCTCGCCGCCAAATTTAACGCCTCCCGAATCCCAGGGACACCAAAAGGGATCGATGCCGCCACTTCCCTGACCCCTCCCGGGGTGCGTCCTGATCAGGATTTCGAAGCGAATCCAACGGTGGCGACTAGGGCCTCCTAAGAGCGCGGAACAGGGGAAAGCCGGCGGAAGGTATCGGTACCTTCTCCTCCTTTGCAACCCTCCGGGGAAGCAGCCGCCTTGACTTTTCTGCGACGCCCCCCGCAGGACTCCTGCTGACGACGACAACGACGACGACGGCGACGATGACGACGACGGACGGCGCCCGCATACGGTAATCGTACGCCGTCGACACGCGCAACAGTTTTTGACACCGCGCCGATCCTTCAACCTTGAACCGATCGCGGCCCCAAGCGTTCAAGGCCGTCGCCCTCGGTGCTTCCGCGTGGATTTTTGTTTGGCCCTCATTCCTGGCCCAACGAAATCCGCACGAAATTCACCTCGAAATCCGGAAAGAAATTCTCCAGGTCACTCCGGGCCCATCCTATCGTTTTCCGAATGAAATCCGCTCTGCGATGTTGGTGCGATGACAAGGAGGAGGAGGAGGAGGAGGAGGAGGAGGAGGAGGAGGAGGAGGAGGAGGAGGAGGAGGAGGAGGACCAATGTAAACCCAAAGCCCATCAAGGATGTTGGAAAACACCCTCCCTCCAAGCTCCCTCCACAAGCCCCCACAATAATTCGCCGGCCCAACGGGCCAGGGCGTGCTAAGATCTCCGGTAACTGGTTAACAGTATTAGCAGTATTTCTAGTTCGCGCGCGCGGGGCGGCCCCTGGGGGTCCCCCGGCGAAAAGTACCCCGACCAACGCCCGACCGCCGCCCGACCGCCGCCCGACCGCCGCCCGACCAAGTCTACTCAGAGATGGTTTTCCTTCTGGGTGCGGCCTCTCAGGCTCCCCAGAGCGCGCTCAGAGTGCCCCAAGAGGCCCCCAAGACTGCCCAAGAGGCCCCCGAGACGCCCAAAGAGCGCTCGAAGACGCCGAAGATGACCCCAAGACGGCCCAAAAGGCCCCCAAGACAGCCCAAGAGGCCTCCAAGACGCCCCAAGAGCCTTCCAAGAGGCCTCCGAAGAGAGCCCCAAGAGGCCAAAATCGTTGATTTTCATTGGTTTTTTCGATGTTTTTTGTGTTCTGGCTTTTTCGGCTTCCGGACGCTCCAAGACGGCCCAAGAGGCCCCCAAGACCGCTCCAAGACGGCCCACGAAGCTCCCAAGACGGCGCCGAAACGACCCAAGAGAGCCCTCAAGACGGCCCAAGTGCCGCCCAAGACGGACCAAGAGGCCCCAAGACGGGCCCAAGAGGGACTCAGGAGGGATACCGAGAACTCAAAAATGGAGCCCTCCGTCCCAGAAGGCGCCCAGGAGGTCCCAAAGAGGCCCCAAGAGGCCTCCAAGAGGCCCCAAGATGTCGCCAAGAGGCCCCAGGAGACTCCCAGGAGGCCCAAAAGAAGCCCCAGAAGGCTTCAAACATGTCTCCCAGGCGCCCCCGAACGGCCTCTCAACAGACCCCAAGAGGCCCCCCAAAGAAGCATCTTGACGACGACTCTATTTCGCCCCATCGAGAGACGACCCCCAGGGAACTGCTTCACCATCAAAACTCCCCACGCAACGCGTCCGAACGACACCCGCCCCCAAGAGCGCAACATGGGCAACGAACACACAGACAAAAACCAGCGATGCCATATCACGGGCCGGCGGAATGAGCGAAGCGATTCAATAAACTTCCACTGGGGGAAGTGCCCCGTTAGGGACAGTCGTGGAAAAATTCCTGAAGCGTGCCAAGGCACCTTTCTTTGGACTTCACCGCCACGAATCAACCTGACCCTTGTGTCTTGACGATCCTGAATCGTGCTAGAACACCGTTCCTGGGATGCCAACACCGCGAATTAACGTAACCATTGCGCCCTAACAACCCAGAGCCGTTCCACAACAAAACTTCTGGTACGTTGACCATGACGCCAAGGAACATCTGGCAACGTTTTAAAACGAATGTGAGCGGCGCTAAAGCGAGATCCGCATTTTGAAAAGGGACCACCCCCAACCAGTGAAAGCCTTGCTAATGTTTAAAACGAATGTGCGCGGCGCTGAGGCGCGGGTAAACTTTTGAAAAGGAACTGCCCTCAACCAGCGGAATTTTGATGTTCAAAAACTAAAAACGAATGTGCGGTGCGCTGAGGCGAGAGCCGCATTTTGAAAACGAACCACCTTCAATACATGGGTCTCTCATGTATTACTAATGTTTCAAACGAGTGTGCGCGGCGCTAAGGCGCTAAGGCCAGAACCACATGTTGAAAGCGATCAGCCATCCATCTATAAAACTGTTGCCAGTGTTTCAGGTTGAAGCAAAAGTGGTAAAAAGGGGTCTCAAGCGCAACGCCCGGCCCGCCCTTCCGACTGGCCTTGGGGTGCGACAGGGACCAGTTATCAATAAGGAAAAAGAATGGAGGGCCAGCTCCTCTTCTTCCTCCAATAGGAGGAGGAGGAGGAGGAGGAGGAGGAGGAGCAGCAGGAGGTGGAGGAGGATCTGGTACGCTCGACATGAGGACTGAACGCGTAGGGCCGATGCCCGACATCGAGGTTCCCAAACCGATCACGGTCGCTGCTGGGCAAGCGACGCCTGCCCCGAATGGACCATGTCCGCGGCGACACCGGCAGCGAGTCCTACTCCAGATCGGTAAGAGCTGCTGTCGGCCTTCGTGCCCGTCCTATCCGTCCCCATTTCGGTTCTCCTGTTCGATCCTCGACACCTTAGCGGCCCTGCTCCGAACGTCCTGAGAAGTCCCCGAGAGGTCCTGGAAAGCTTCTGGAGTCCTCTGGAGGCGCCCTGGGGCCCGAGAAGGCCCAGCAGCGCCCAGAAACGTAGCTCAGCGATCCTTGAGCCCCGATGCAAAACGTATAACATCTCCGACCCTGGATCATCGATCAGCTGGATGGGGGCGAAGGACGAGGAGGAGGAGGTGGAGGACAAGGATGAGGATGGGGAGACGGAGAGCAAGAGGAGGAGGGGCCGGGAGAGAACGGGCGGGCCGGGCCGTGGAATCCTCTTTGCTCGACCCTGGAACCCCGATCCTTGGGACGTCGGCATCGTCGCCGTCGTCGGGGCGTCGTCGTCGGCGGCGGCGGCCGCGGCGTCGGCGCCGGCGGCGGCGGCGGCGTCGGCCTCGTCGTCGTCGTCGTCGTCGTCGTCGGCGGCGGCGGCGTCGTCGTCGCCAGAGGCCGGAGGGGGCGCGGCGGCGGCGCTCGTGCCCGGCCTGCTCGGCCTCCCTCTCCAGGCGGTCCAGGAAGGGGCCGGCCTGCCGACGCTCGCGCGGGCGCTTCGGCACCCCTGGTCGGCAAAGCAATCAAGCCTACTTTGAGGTCGGGCCAGCCCCCCTACATGGGACGCACAGAGACTTACTAATACTATTCTGTCCGCCTTGGAGGCGCGCGCCCGACCCGACCATATAGTATACCCATCTTGTAGTATATCGTCTCTCGAGCGGTGTGGCCAGAAAGCGCCCGCCACGACCCATATACTATAAGATTTCTCGGTGCGCGCGTCGCCCCTGGGGGGGCGACGAACACATAGTATAAGTATGTTGGGGGGACGCCGACTACAGGCGGATTTTGGACGGGAAATGCAAAATAGCCAAAACATAATCCAAAGATGCCCAACAATGATCAAAACATCGTCCCCAGACTATCTCTTTACGATCTTTGAATATCCCTCCTGTAGAGGGACAGGCCCGACTTACGCCTACTGATGTGCTGAGCTGCCCCAGAACGCAGCACGCAACCCATTGCGTCTCGACACGGCGCTCAACACGCGGATCGAAACTGTACGCTTGGCGCGGTCGATTTGCCAAACCGTGGGCCAACACTGTAGGCAAACACGCAGCGTATTTACACTGACGCTTCGAACACGGTACGCGCTGCATGCTCACACGGGCGCATCAGGGCGGCTGAGGCCTGCACGGGTGCTGACGTGTTCAATGTGTGCCACGCGCGGGCAGCTCTTGCCCTCCCAAGGCCCTTCGGCCCCAGTGGCGCTGCATTGGCGGCATCGGGCCAAGGTCCCTCACACGTTAGAGGCCTCCCAGATGGGGTCGGAGTAGAAGGGGTCGGAGGGTCGCGCCGCATCGGCAATACATCGGCGATGCATTGGCGATGCACTGGCGACGTCGCCGATACATCCGCGACGTCGGCGTGGAAAGACATCGGGCCCCATATCGAGCCGCATCGCCGATGCATCGCCGATGCATCGCCGATGCATCGGCGATGCGGCGCGATGCTCCGACCCCCCCCACTCCGACCCCATCTGGGAGGCTTAGACACGTACAGTCAAAAGCCCTAATAAGGACGCGCGGTAAGGACGCAAGACCCTTGGAAGCCGAAGTTGGGATTCTTGGGGCGGCGGACGACGAACACCTCAAGGACGCAAGAGCAAGGAAGAGCAAGGGCGCAAGGGCACCCGGAGCAACGTCGCGTGTCCTTGTTGGGGTTTTTGACTGTACTGTTGTTCTAAACGGCACTGCACGGCGCTCGCGCTGCACGCGTCGGAGGGCCGCCGCTCACTGCACGCCGCTCGCGCTGCAAGCATCGGGTGAAGGCCGCTCGCGCTGCACACGTCGGAGGGCCGCCGCGCACTGCGCGCGGCGGGCGCCTGCGGGAGCTGCGGCGCGGCGGGCCGCCGGCCGCGGCAGGCGCCACCCGCAGGGGACGCCCCCGAGGGCCGGAAGGCTCCGGCCGAGGGGAGGCCCGAGGCGCGCGCGCCCCAGGAGCCCACGGAGGCCCCGTGGGCGAACGGCGGAAGCGATGCCGTCGTGGTCGTGGTCGTGGTAGGCATCGTGGTCCTCGTCCTCGTCGCTGCCGCCGTCGTCCTCGTAACCGCCGTCGTCGTCGTCGGCGTCGTCGCCGTCGCCGTCGACGTCGCCGCCGCCGTCGTCGTCGTCGGCGTCGTGGTCGTCGGCGTCGTCGTCGTTGTGGTCGTCGTCCTCGTCCTCGCCGAGGGACGAGCATCGCAGCCCGGTGATCAGAATCTCTGGGCATACTTGGCGATTGTTGAGCCTCGGGGGGCATGATGTTCTTCCTAGCGCATGGGGGCCACATCCGAATAAGAGCCCTGGCCTCGCACGACCACTACTGTCAAGCGATACGTCCGAGCTGCCCACAGGGTTGCTCCCCGAGGAGGCTGAGCCTGTGAAGCCGACGAACACTGCGATTCACGCTCGGCCTCCTCTGGGGGCCTCCAGAGGACTCCAGGAGAAACGTCGGCGGCGTCGGTGGCACCCCCAAATGGCACACCACGCGCAGGAACCTCGGCCTTCGATGTCGTCGTCGACCTAAGGGTCGACATCGCCCCTCGGCGCTTCTTTGCTCTTCTTCCTCTGGCCCAATGTCTCCGAGTGAGGAGGAGGACGAGGATGATGGGGGAGAGGTAGATGGAGGGAACTGAAAAAAGGAAGGAGGGAGGGATGAGAGGAAGGGGGGATAGAGTGGGCGAGAGGGAGATGGGCAACGAATGGGGCAATGGGAGAGAAGAGAGAGAGAGAGAGAACAACAAAAATGAAAGCGAGAGGGACATGGACTGATGGATGGGCAGGGGGGGGGGGCTAGATGGAGGCGAGAGACAAGAGGGACGAGACGGACGAGAGGAAGTGGAGTGACAAGATGACTGCTGGTATCGAGGAGAGGGAGGTCAGGAACGAGAGGAAGAGGGAGGAGGGGAGATGGGAAGGCACGGGGGCCGAAGGGGGGGAAAGGTGCTTACCTGCCACGATCCGCAACACGCAACACGTATGTAGCGGCTATGTAGCGTGTTGATACAGAGCTCAACACGTAGACTGAAAACGTGGGTCATTACGCTGAACCAACACGCAACGTGTTGGCACGGACGTTTTAGCACGGTACGTCCTGAGTTACAACCCGGGCTTACCGAGGCAACGAAGGAAGGGTGCGAATGGGACAATCTTGGGGTACAGAGAAACGAGAGAGGAGATGGGGAAGTCACGGTGTACCTGTTTTGCCTACTCGTCGAGAAGCACGACGTCGGAGGCCTGGGTGCAGAGGACACTCGAGAACGCGCGAGACTCGTTCGATGGCAACCCTAGATGAGCCGACGTTCCATCACCACTACCATAGCAGAGGGGAGGAGGAGGAGGAGGAGGAGGAGGAGGAGGAGGAGGAGGAGGAGGAGGAGGAGGAGGAAGATACACTTTCCGCTTTCCCCCGTGCTACCTGTGGTGATGCCGGTGGAGAATTGGCCCGGCAGCCCGTGCTCCACACGTGGAGAGGGACGCGAAGCGCGACAGGCGGGACACAGCGAGCTCGTGGCCTGCAGGGTCGGCCCGTGAATCGGGCCCGACGGTGCGTGCCGCTCTCGGCCGCCCCCCCCCCCCCCCCCCCACCCGCAGGGGGCAGCACGTCGCGCTGCCACGCGCGAGAAGCGGGTGCGCACGGCTCGAGCTGCCTCGCGCCACTGGGACTCCCGCCTGGGCCAGGAGCGCGGGCAACTGCTCTTCCGAAGTGTGTTGCGTCGTCGTCCTCGGAAGCAGCATGGCCAGCGTCGCCACTGACGTCAGTGTAGTGCTTGGGCAGTGCCGTGCAGAGCTGGCTCCCGGTGCCATTGATGATCGCCTGGGCTTTCACCAACACCGACCTCGCGCTGAAGATACAGGCCAAGAGCGCCCGACCTGCCCCCGCTCCCTCCGCACCTATCTCCTCCCATCCGTCCCTTCCCATCTGTTCCCATGGGGGTCCCTCGCGTAACTCCACTCTCCCCTATCTCTCTCTCCCTCCCTCCTGCGCCTCCTCTCTCCTCCTCCTCTTCCTCTCCTCCTTCTCCTCTCCTTCTCCCCTCCTCTCCTCCTCTTCTCCTCTCTTCCTCTCCTCCTCCTGCTCCTCCTCCTCCTCCCCCTCCTCGTCCTTCTCCTCCTCCGCCTCCTCCTCCTCCCCCCTCTTGCTCAACTCCTTGCTCCTCCTCCTCCGCCACATAAGGATCTCCCTCACCTGATGAATTCCCTCCGTTGGGCGCAGAGACATCGGATTCAACTTACTCGTAACGCTGCAACAACAGAGACAATGATGCCCTCATCCTTCCCTGCCTTCCTCCTCTTTCGTCTTCCTTCATCTCACTCCTGCGTCCTCTCTCTTCCTTCCTCCCGCTTCCTCCCTCACACCCCCTCCCCTCACCCACCCTCCCCACATCCCACCCATGATGCAGCGTAGGAATCAAGCCTCATCTTGAAGGAACTCCATTAGCTCCGTTTCCATCTCGCCTGTTGCACTAGAGCGGGTGGAAGGGGGATGGACAAAATTGGAATAGACCATGGATGAGGGAAAAGAGGAGGACGTGAGGGAACCGCGCTAAAATCTCCGGCAATAAATTAACAATATTCTAAGGCCCGTGGGGGTCCCGGAGCCGAAAAGTACCATCTGCAACTGCCGGCAAGTCCCCGTCAGAATTGCCGGATCTGTTGGGCGCGGGCCTCGGGGCCTCTGGAACCGTCCAGGAGCGGCCCAAGGAGTCGACAAATAGGTGGCAGGCCCTACGACCAGGAATCAACAGCGTCCCGAGGCGGCCCGAGATGGCCTCACGATGGCCCTCGATGCCCCCAACACGCCCCTCGAGGTTTCCAGGAGGCGTCCCACGAGGCACAAATCCTTGATTTTCCTTGGGTTTGGGGATGTGGTCAGCCTTCTCGTTTTTTCTGCACTCCGACGCTCCAAGAGGGCTCAAGAGGCCTCCAAGACCGCCCCAACACAGCTCAAGAGGCTCCCAAGATGGTTGCACGATGGCCGAAGACGGCTCCGAGACGGCCCAAGAGGCGGCCACACGGGCCCAAGAAATCCCCAAGACGGCCCCTTGAAGGGCTGGAGACGCCCCACAATCGCCCCAAGCCGCCCAAGATGGTCTTAAGAAGGCCCAAGAGGCTGCCAAGACGGCCCAAGAGGTTTCCAAGAGGCCTCCCAAGAGGTCCCCACGAGACAAAAATCATTGGTTTACACTAGGTTCTTGGAGGTTTTCGGCTTTCTCGCCTTTTCGGCTTTTCGACGCTCCAAGGTGGCCCCATAGGCCCCCAAGACCGCCCCAAGACGGCCCGAGAGGCTCCAAAGAGAGCCCCCAAAAGGTCCAAGACGGCCCCCAAACGGCCCCAGAGAAGCCCAAGATCGCCCAAGAGGGCCCCAAGAGGGGGAACACGAACCAGCAATTCGAGCCTTCCGCGCAGTGTGCAGCACCTGGCCAGTAATCCTCACACGCATGTGTCAATGATTAGATGTCGACTTCGGGCTGCGCCACCTCATGACTTGCAGATCTGCAGGCACGTGTGCCGGCGTGGACCCCGA